CGGTACTAAGACGAACAACAACCTACAGGGTCCAAGTCAAGTTTGGGAATGGGTGTACCATATATCTCGGGGATTAAAAGACATATCAGCGGAGCCCCGCCCACAGTGGGCGTGGCATCGAAATGCATCGGTTGATTTCAAATTCAGTCACAAAACAGCCTCGAGACTGGGGACAAAAGTGGGTATAGGTGTGCGTTGGTAAGCCAGATTGAATTGGGAGACCCACCCTCGGTGGGCGGGGCGTTCTCTAAAAAAGCGGTGCTCAATATTCATAACTCGGTTGGGAGAAAGCCTACAGAGCAGAAAAAATTAGTGTAGGGAGCAATGTCTAAGGTATTTCCAGCATACATGATGTGAACGGAGGCCCGCCCACAATGGGCGGAGCGTGTCGTGAAGTAGACAGCGTTTTCTACAAGAGCTCATAAATCGGCTCCGAGATGACTTAGAGACCGGAAAACAGTGGATAGAGGTCAGGAGGAGGGAGGAGAAGCTAAATGTCAAGGCTGGGCGTGGCTTACACCAAAGTGGGCGGAGTTTGCAACCAGGCCTCATAACTCGGTTCCTATGAGTCCCGGGGTGTGGGAAAAAAGCGTATAAGGGTTGGCAGAGGGAAGGGGGTCAACTGCTGTTGGCGGGCGGAGCATGCATTAAAGTGGGCGGAGTTTGCCACGGTACTTCATAACTCGGTTCCAATAAGTTCCGGAGATGGGAAAAAAGTAGAAAAAGGTTGGGGAAGAGATGATAGTCAACTGATATCAGTGGGCGAGGCATGCACCAAAGTGGGCGGGGTTTGCCACAAAGATACGTAGCTCGATTTCGTCCCCTACAAGACCTCATAATTCGGCTCCGAGATGACTTAGAGACCTGAAAAAATGTGTATAGAGGTGAGAGAGGAGTAGAGGTTGAATGTGAACGCTGGGCGTGGCACACCCGAAGTGGGCGGAGTTTGCCACCACTCTCATAACTCGGTTCCTAGAAGTTCCGGCGACCGGGAAAATGTGGATAAGGGTTGAGGTAGGGAGTAGGGTTAAATGCTATTGGTGGGCTAAGCATGCACCAAAGTGGGCGGGGTTTGCCACGAAAATTCATGACTCATAACGTCTTCTACAAGACCTCATAATTCGGCTCCGAGAAGACTTAAAGAAAGAAAAAAAAGTGGATAGAGGTCAGAGAGGAAGGGGAGAGATTAAGTGTAATGGTGGGCGCGGCGCGCACAAAAGTGGGCGGAGTTTGCTGTCAAACTTATAACCCGCTTTCAAGAAGTCCCGGAGACCGAGAAAAAGTTGGATCGAGGTCAGAGGAGAAAATGAGGTAAGGTGCGGGCGGTACACGCGCAAAAGTGAGCTAAGTTTGCCACGAAACATCATAGCTCTGTCCCAAGAAGTCCTGGAGACCGGGAAAAGTGGATAGAGGTTGTCGAAGAAAGGGGTAAGTGCTATTGGTGGGTGGAGAGTGCATTGAGACGGCCTGCAACGGACATTATGACTTGGTTCCAAAAAGTTCCGGAAAACCGGAAAAAAGTGGATGAAGATGAGCGAGAGGAAAGGACTTCAAGTGCTGTTGGTGGGTGGAGTGTGCGACAAAGTGGGCGGAGTCTCCTAGGAGGAATCAGGAATAATATCGATGGGACTGTTATATGCCGGTGCAGTCCCAATGTGATGTACGCGAATGCGTGCGCAGCCAAAATCTCTTTAAATAACCTTCCACTTCGAGCACATATTCTATAAATTTCCTATGGAATACGTTATCAATCAAGCACGGTCTTTGCTGTTATGGTGGTGGCTATTGGTCTCTTAGCCGACTTCAGCTCGTCCATTATCGGAGGTCATCGGGCAAAGGAGGGGGTCTCATTTTGCGTGCTCTGACGGATTCTCTTTGCTTTTTTCGCTACTGGGCATTATTCAGCATCTCACTTTCACTATGAACTCAGCCCAATCTTATCATAATCCCTTCAAAACAATCGTCGAGCGAAGGGAGGGGGCAACCGATAAGGTAATGGATACCTGCTGGAGCGCCAACCGCAGTCATAGTAGAAGCTCCTCCGGCAGGAGCACCGACAGCAGTCATTGTTGAGCGTCCACCTGAACTTGAAGGCGAATTTACGACGAAAAGTTAGCTCATTGGAAATAAGGGTAGAGGTAGTCAGTGGAGCAGGGACACAGGAGAAACCATGTGAAACTGTCTCTAGAACTGGGACCACTTCCTTGCCCGTTGATTTGCGCATAGATGCGACCTGTCGTTGCTTTGCCCTCTTCAACAACTTACTGCTCTTCGTCTATGACTGAATTTTTAACATAATCGTCTTGCTATAGAGCGGCGAAGAATACGGATATAGTTGGGCGTGTTCTGGAATGCCACTAACCGCTTGTTTCCTGCTAATGCAAATTTGTCCCCTTCTTCCACCATGCGCTTTATGTATTTGGTGGAAAGCTTCTTTAAATTTACTCCGGATTAAAAGTGAGAGTGTTGTCTGTCGATTTTCTACGTAAAGAACTGCCAACAGGTTAGCATTTTCCAATCTGTCAAGGAATATCCTCCGACAAAACTTCTCTTCTATCTGGTCGCCCTGCGTTAGGTCACGCCAGCGCGCAGGTCCTGTTATTGTCGATTCCGTTCGAGAAACTTCTATCGGTGGGTGTCGGCAGCTTCCATCTGCGGGGTCATGATCTTCACTGCGGCGTTTCGTTGATCAGGATACTTTTCTACTGTGCGCTTTAGAGCCTGCTTCGCCTGCGCGTGGCCTTGCGCTTCAAAGTCCCATCATTTTTATCGATGTTTGAGCCTCTGCCTACGGTAGCACGCTGGGTCTGTCGTACATCGCTCGTTTCGCTCCATCATCCCGGGGAGCTGGGGTCAGGAGGCAGCTGGACAGGGGCAGTCTGCATGACCGCTGCTCTACGACTCGTTCTGACCCTGTCCAGTCGCCGTCCAGCCGCAGGCCCACCTCAGCATCCTCATCTCAGCGGAGTGAAGCTGCCTTTCGTGATTCTTGTTCAGGGGCCAGCACTCGCTGCCGTATAGCATCGCAGGCCTTACCACTGTCCGGTACACCTTCCCTTTGAGCGTTCTGGAGCACCTTCGATCGCAGAGGATTCCAGTGGACTCCCTCCATTTCATCCATGCAGCGTTGACCCGAGCCTTCACCGCCTGATCCACACCACCGTCGGCTGCCAGATCGCTCCAAGGTATCGGAAGTCCTCCACTCTTTCGATGGTCTCACCATGACCGTCCACGATCGGCTCTGTACCCTCTCCTTGACATTCAGCCAGACTCCCGCAACCTTCTGCCAGGAATTTCTGTATCTTGGCTTGACGTTCTTCTCTGCTTGCTATCACGGCGATGTCGTCAGAGTAAAAGATGGTCTTGTGTGGTTTCCATGAGCCCCAGAACATCCAGTGAAGGGGAGGAGGGGCTCAGAAATGATCCTTGGCGCTCCCAAGCGTAACAACTTCTTCCCTTGTTAAGCCATGCGGAGTGCGTATTGCTGCCTTAGCCCCATCGTACATGTCCTTCACCAGAGAGATCAGGTGTTCTGGCACGTTCTTTCCCTGAGCGACCTCCATAGCACTGCTCGCGGTAGCCGGTCGAACGCCTTCTCCAGGTCGAGGAAGGCTAGGTAGCAGGGTCGGCGCTTTTCTCGATACTTCTCCATCACTTGCCTGCGATGAAGATGGCATCCGTTGTAGACCTTTCGGGCATGAACCCGAACTGTTCCTGGGAGATCGGGACCAGCTCCCGCAGTCTTGTGAACCGACCACTCGTACAACTTCATGGTATGCGCAGATGATTAGTCTACGCTTCGAGGAGTATCTACAGTGTGGAAAAGCCCGAGATATGGAAACAGTCTGGTATGCTTGTGATACAGCAGCTGACGTATCTATCTTCTCATTTCAGACCGTAAACATCGATGGTGGTTGTTCCAAGGCTAGCACTCTGATAAGTGTGGAGTCTACTAGACTGGCTACTTACCCATACGGAAACACCCTTTTCCTTTGATATTTCGTTTACTCATATTAGCTTGAGAGCTTCGCCCTCTCTTTCCCATAGAAGCAGCACGACCGTGAAGCGCGCACTTAGGAAAGGGTTTACTCCACGCGTTCTAGGGTGTCTACCCTTTTATCCTGGAAGTAGTGTGGAAGTTTCACGCCAAAACTATCTAGGAATACCCCGTGTGGGATACCTCCTACTCGCGTTCATTGTCGCTTACGCGCTCCTACCGCATCACCAAACATCATTCATGTTGTTTTCAAGAATATTTTTGGAGTGACTATACCCGCGTGACTATGCTCGCTGTACTAATTAGCAGTATTATTGAAAAGATTACGCATACCTGCTGGCGCACCAATTGCAGTCATCGTTGAACCTGGGCCTCCTGCGGGAGCACCCACTGCGGTCATCGTTGAACCTGGGCCTCCAGCAGGAGCACCAACTGCGGTCATCGTTGATCCTGGGCCTCCCATTGGTGCTCCTACTGCAGTCATTGTTGATCCTGGACCTCCCATTGGTGCTCCTACTGCGGTCATTGTTGAGCGCCCTCCTGAAAATTTGTTAAGATTCTTCCCCGAAGTTATACGAAGCAAAGTTCTCAGAACTAACCTGCGGGAGCGCCAACTGCGGTCATAGTTGAAGCACCTCCTCCCATTGGTGCTCCTACTGCAGTCATTGTTGAGCGTCCTCCTGAAAATTTGACTAGGTTCTTCTCCGAAGTTCTACGGAGCAGTTTTTAGAGTTAACCTGCGGGAGCGCCCACTGCGGTCAT